AGACAGGGTCTCTGTGTAGTTGAGACTGACCTGGAACTTACTATGTAGCCCAAGCTGGTCTTGAACTCACAGCGATCCTACTGCCTCAGCCTCCCAAGTGCTGGGATTACAGGTGTACGCCACCATGCCCGGCTCTGTTTTTGTTTTTTAAGACAGGGTGTTCCTCCTTAGTTCAAGCTGGACTTGAACTCACTATGTAGCCCAGGTTGGGCCCAAATTTACAGCAATCCTCTGTCTTCTGAGTGCTGGGATTGATTACAGATGTGTGCCACCATGCCCAGCTGCAGACTTTCTTTACTCAGGATGCCTTGGGGTGTGATACCTGGCCAGGTCTAGCAGCACTTTGCTGTTGCACTTCTGTGAATTGTGGTCCATATTTATCTGGTGTCCAGGATCATGCAGAAAAAGGAGAAAAGCACTTTCCAGGACCCAAAAAGTCTGAGTCCTCAGTATCTTCCCCTGGGACTGTCAGTATCTATCCCAGACCTCTTCCCTGGAGTCTCAGCGGTCAGAGGGGAAGGGCGAGAAGGTGGAGGAGCTAGTGGACGGTGTCACTATTGAACTACATTTCCCATAAAGCTATGGGGCTAGCGGCCCTAGTTTGCTGTTGAGGAAGGGCCCCAGGGCCTTCTGGGAGTCATAGTTCTAGCCAAGAAACAGCCACTTACCGCATCTGCGGGGCTAGGCGCCAGCGTTTCCAACCAGCCAGAATGCATCCAGCCGGAAGCCTGGGCCCGGGGCCAAGGGAAGAGAGGATGCTGAAGGCCATAACCGGACCTTGGCTCTGGAACCGGAGCGGGCGGATAGCTTCCCTTCCGCGGGCACTGCGAAAGTTCTAAGAATTGGCGACCTCTTCTGTAACGTCACGGAGCCCGGGGCGGACCTCCTTGAGTTTTGGTCCAATTAGACTCAGAGTTGGGCTTCTGGGCGGGGCCGAGGGAAACCCAAGGAATAGTTCGGGGTTTGGGGGCCCATGTGGGAAGCTCAAAAGGAGAAGTGGCAGGGGTCTCTGGTAGACTAACTCTAGATTCCGTGCAACCAACCTCTCCCTCCCCCTCCCCCGAAATCCATAATCTTAACGGGGAAGATAGTAGGTCCCCTAGCTCTTTCAAAAACCCTCAGGAGCTGGACTGGGCTCCTGAGTCGGGCCTAGTGTTGGAAGGCATGAGTCGGAGATCAAGGGAGTGCTTCGCTGGTTAGGGTGCATGGGGCTCTATTTCCTAAGAAGGGTATGCCCTGCACATTAGGGGTATTGGTCTTGGGGGAGAGTGGACGAAGTTTCCCTGTGTCAAAAGGGTGGCTGGGTGTCTTGGTTAACTTTGTCGAGTCCCTAACTTGAGGGATTTGGGGTGTATTTTTGGTTTGAGGGAACTTTGAGTTTGATAATACGCAGGATGGCTGGGTACTGTGTAGTTTATTTGGTTTGAGCACTGAAATTTCAGTTTGAGGTACAGGTTTTGGGGTTCTTGGGGTCTCTGAGCATTGATCCATTTGAGGTTTGGGATTTGGGGTCACATCGATTTGGGGAAGTTGGAAAGGCATGGATTGGGATTTGGGGAGCCTGTGTGGTTTAGGAGTCCGGGGTCCGGCTTTAATGCTTTTGTGGTCTCTCATTTGGGATACAATGAAGACCCTAAATTTGGGGGGCCATGGATTGGGATTATGTCTCATACTTTGGAGACGCTTGATGAAGGATATGTCTTAGTTTGGAGATTTCCTAAAGATCCTGTTTCCTGAGGACCTTACAGAGAGGAGGCTCAGTGAGATCTCCTAAAATGAGCTTTGGTGTCTTCCCTTTCAGTGGGCACCTGCTCTCTGTTTGGGGTGAGAGGGCCCTCCCTGTTGGTGTTCGAGGACCACATGCTCTAGCTGCAATGGGCCTGCGTTTTGCCCTCCTGTTGGTAGCCCTGGCCTGCTGCCTGCTGCCTGCAGGGTGCTGTATCATATGTGACCCGTCTGTGGTGGCAGCGCTAAAGTCCTTGGAAATAGATTACCTGCCTGGCCACCTGGGCACACAGCATCATGCAGACGTGATGCAGATGGTAGAGCAGGCCGTGAAGGATTTCCAGAACCTGCAGTTCAAGGAGGAGTCCTACATGGGGGCCATTGGTGAGGGCAGGGATGAGGGTGGCCTCTTGGGACCTGGGATAGGAGGGGCCTGGGGACAGGGTCTCCTGAGATCAGGAATGGAGAAAGCTAGGGTGCAGATTCTGTAGCAAATACTGCCCTCCCCTTATCTTGCAACTTTCTTCAGGTCCCAGAAGGTGATGGGTGGCTTCTCCCTTAATCAGCCTGTCCTTGCCCTGTGGCCTCATGGGTATTGTAGTTTCTACAGGGAGGCAAGTCTATGGGATGGTCGGGTTGGAATCTGGGGCTCTGTACCCTCATCCCCACAGATGAGGACACACTGCAGCAGGCATCCTGGAGTTTTCTGAAGGATCTGAAACGTATTACAGACAGTGATGTAAGAGGTAAATTCACCGAGGGGGTGGGTGGTCCAGAATACCTCAAGTTAGCCATTGCTGGGGATGCCAAAGCTGGTGAGGGTCAGACCCCAGGCTGTAAGCCAGGCTGCCCGTTCAAGTTCCAGCTCTGTGTTCTAGCCATGTGGTCTTCGGCGAGAGATTGGCAACTCCCTCGGCTCAAACACGGAGACCTTAGCAGCAACTTGCTCCCTCAGCAGCTGTGAAGATTGAACGGATGAATACATGCGCATTGTTTAGCCCAGGCGCTGCCAGTGGGTTGAATGCTGGATTTCAGTGCTATTCCCTGAGCTAGCCTGAAAACCAATGCCAGCCCAACACGGTGCACCTGTAGTCCTAGCTACTTGGGAGGCTGAGGCAGGAGGTTTGCTTGAGTCCAGGAGTTTGAGACCAGCTTGGGCAGCATATTGAGATCCCATCTCATAGATAAATAGATAAGAATGGAATTCCAGCTCACAGAGCCCACCCTCCTCCACCCAGCCCCATCCCCACCCCCGGTAGGGCACTGTGCACTCCCTGCTTCCTCCCAGGGGAGCTCTTCGTGAAGGAGCTGCTTTGGATGCTGCACCTACAGAAAGAGAACTTTGCCAGCCTTGCTAAGCGGTTCCAAAAGGAGGGTGAGGAAGGCCAGGATCCCAGGACCCCAGCCCCATCCTACAACCCTAGAGTTCCTGTCTCCAGCCCCTTACGTCTGAGTCCAGTCCCTCCACCTCCTCATCTCTTCCCTGCGACCCTGAGGGGACCTTGCTCAGGTGCTTCCCTCCCCTGGAACCCAAAAGCCCAAAGCTCAGCCTTTCCCCCAACTGCCGCCACCAATATTCTTTGACTTAGAAATCTGATTCTCTCATCTCTTTCTTTCTTTTCTTCTCCCGTCGGAGGCAGCTTATTGTCCTAACAAATGTGGTAAGTCCAGACAATGGACATTAGTCCTCTACCCCTCATCCCTGCCCCAAATCCCGGTCTCAACCCCTCCCCTTTTGATTTCTTCTCACAGCTGAGAGCCTCCTGGCCACCAGCATCCTCTCTGGCTTGGACTTCTTGGGTAGCGGGTGGTATTCTATCTACACTCCTTCCTGTGCCTCATTGGTGTACCGGTGTCTTGGGGGCCCCACCCTGGCCTTGCCCCTGCCCTCCCTTGTTCGTGGGTGAATACATGCCTTGGCCTCGTCTCTTCAGGCATGATGTTGCAGACTCTGATCTGGTGCAACAAATGCAAGAAGGAGGTCCACACCTGTCTGAAGTCCTACGATTGCGGGAGTGAGAACTGCACCCAGCAGGCGGGCTTGGTCTGCGAGGGGCGGGCCCTAGGGAGAGCCCGGGAGAGTGCAGACCAGATACCCCAGCCTGCACCAAGCTACTGAGGGGCAGTGAAGGCAGAAGGAGCGCTTACAGAAGCCCTTCCTCAGGTCGCAGTGTGGAGGTCCATCAGATGGAAGACATGATCCTGGACTGTCACCTCAACTGGCACCAGGCCTCTCAAGGACTCACTGACTACAGCTTTTACAGGGTGGGCCCTCCAACTCCTGTAACCCTTGAGCCCATGTCCACTGGGCTCCCTCCTGCCCCTGGTCTGCTGGCCCCCGGGTCCACTGGCCTGCACCCAGCCCTCCTGACCTGTGACCCATCAGGCGTGGCTACTGACCTGCCGGGGACCCCATGTCCTGACCGGTGTCGCCCTGAGTTCCCCTCGCTCACCCTGAGGCCCCGCGATTTTCTCACCCCAGTTCTCTCCAACCTCTGAATTTCCCAAACTTCTGTGACCCTTTGAGCTTGGGTCTAGGTTTGGGGGAACAATTCTGAGACCTTGGTGTCCAAGGGAAAGGAGTCCCTCCTGACCAAGCCCTTGGTGGGGCCAGAGGATGCAGGCGACTACCTCTGTGAGTTGGGCACCGTGAGTTACGGCCCAGCCACGATCATCAATTTCCACGTCACAGGTCAGCTCTGAATTAGGGGTAGAGAAGTGAAATTTCCAGGGCCCAGGGAATGGGAGACCGTTTCCTAAGCCTGGCCTGGGCGGGGGCGTGGCTTCCTCCTGGGTGTGGCCTCGGGCAGCCCGAGCAGTGGGGTCCTGGGTACTAGGGCGAGGTGCCTTCACCCGCTGCTAGGACTGCTCTTTTGCCCTTCCTCTATCAGTGTTGCCCGAAAGGATGCAGGAGGAGCAGCAGTCATCAAACGTAACCTCAGAACTCCCGGAGTCCTTGCCTGAGATACTCCAGCCTCCGAAGCCCGAGAATATCCTGAGAAGCCGCCTCTTAGGGCTGCTGATCTGTGGCTTTGTCAGCTCAATGCTTCTGATAGCCAGCGGCGTGGCCACAGTGTGAGCCGCCACGGAAGGAGGCGGGCTCGGAGGAAGGGGCGGGGTTTCTGGCTGCCCAATGCAGAAATAGGCCTGGGAGCCAATGAGAACCTTCCTTAGGGGGTGGGACTTGCATAATTTCTAGAATAAAGTCAGATTTGTGGGGTATTGGGAGAAGTGTCCCTCATTCAACTACTGCCTAACCCGGCTCCATTATTTGGATCCTCCAACCACCCCCAGGCTATTTCACAGGGGTAAGACGACCACCGCTATACCAAAGTCCTCACCGGTCAATGCTGACAACGAATCTGCTGCGCAACCAGAGGAAAAGGCCACAGATCCGGAGAACCAATAAAGATTTGCTTTTTTTTCTAAGTATCTGACTCCCTCCTCTGGACTGAGTCAAACTTCTGGTTCCATGATAGCCGAGGTCTGGGAGTTCGGCCCCTACCTGCGTGAGGAGGGGCTGTGCCCGGGGCCGGTGGAAGGGACCAACGGGCTGGCTACGACAAAATCAAGGAGCAAGGCAGGGCCAGCCCTGCCCAGGTCTCCTCCCCGGGGCCTGGTCTCCTCACAGGACGCCCCCTCCCCGCTCTTCCTGCCGGGTTTCCTCTGGCCTTTTCCTGTCCCCCACCCAGTGAAGGGAGCCGGGCAGAGGCAGACTACAAGAGCGGAGGGAGTGGGACGAACTCGGGCCAACGGAGCCAGGGCCTCCGGGTGCTGCTGGACCCGAAGCAGGGTAAGAGCCAGGAATTCTGGAGTCAGCCCACAGTCTTCTCCATCCTGGGCCCCGGAGCCCCAGGCCCATCCCTGCCCTCCTGGCCTGCGGAGCCTAAGCCCAGCCCCCTCCTCCTCCTGCCTCAGGAGTCCAGGTCCCTCTCCACCCCCTCCGTCACCGCCACCCAGTGCCTTAGACATAGGGGCCTTATCTACCTATCCTTAGGGCCATGCTATCTGGTGAACGGAAGGAGGGCGGTAGCCCCCGCTTCGGGAAGCTGCATCTCCCGGTGGGCCTGTGGATCAATTCCCCCAGGAAGCAGCTCGCCAAGCTGGGGCGACGCTGGCCCAGCGCTGCCTCTGTCAAGTGAGTGGCACCTGCCCTGCCCGCCCGCCTCCCTCCCATTTGTCCCTGTTCGTGACCCAGGCCTTGCACTGCCCGAGACGACTGCGGTCCTGAATGGGCAAGCGAGCTGGGGGTGGAGTGGAGACTGAGAGACCCCAGGGTGGTGTCAGGGAGGGTGTGGGGCAGAGCTGGGCCGGGAGACAGGCAGAGAAGTCACAGGGTTTGATCCCCCCACTCCCCTCCTGGCATTTCCTTCTGTGGGACTCGCCTTTATTTATTTTCTCTTTTTCCTCCAATTTCTTCCCCACCCCCATGTCCATCCACCCGGGTCTCTGGCCTCTGTCCGTCTCTGTCCCCGATTCCGGGTCCTGGCTACCCCACCCCCCGTCCTCGTCGTTCCTCTCCGGGTCTCTCCCGCGCCCGTCCCCGCCCGGCTCGCAGGGG